GATAATGGGGCATATAATTCCACCCCAAAAGAACACTTAAAAAGAGCTCCTTGTATTTATGCAACTCATCTTCACAGATTGTCCTAAAATAATATATATGATACATGCTGTATCCATAAATCATCTGTAACCATAATGTTTTCAGTGCTCGTTATTCCAAATAAAACTTAGGTCAGTTCCAGCAGTTAAAAAAATGAAAGAAAGTTCTTTATACTATTCTTGCATTTTTCTTAAAAGGTTAAATTATATTAAAATTGAAAATTACCAAAAACAAACTTATTCCTTGAAATATGTTAAATGTGATTTTATTTTATTTTAGTATTATTGCTTTAAAAGAAATGCACCAATGACAGTTCAAAATTGAAATCTGATTCAAGATCTCAAATTAAATATATAAATAACAGGACTGAGAAACTAATGTAAGAGAGGATCAGATTTTCCTTCTACCCTTCTAGGTTCTTTGACTGACCTAATAATTAAGTTGGCCTAAGACAGACTAAAAGGAGCAATAACACAACACTCATACAGAATAAAGCTCCTAACAAAGCTCCCAGCTCAGAGTCAACAAAAAACAACAACAACAACCAAAAAAACCCCAAAACCAAAACAGAAAACCCCATAGCTGGGACAATTATCAAAGCAATTAATTGAAGAAAGAATTTGGAATACCTAGATCACTGAAGCAACTTTCCCTCTTCTGCTTATACTAAACAGGAGGCATCCTCAACATTTGATTTTAGGACAAAACTCCTAGAATTGCTTTCTAAATAAAGTGAACAATGTATCTTGTGTGTGGGTGGAGGGTGTGAGTGTGCATGTAGTGTGTGGGGTGGGGGTGTCCTAGTTAATAAGACTAGAGAGAGGCGAAGCAGAAAAGCAAGGAAGAACTGCTAACTTCAACTGTTGCTCTGGCAAGAGCCTTGAGGTTGGTGTGTAGTGTGGGGGTAGCAGTGTCCTAGTTAATAAGGCTAGAGAGAGGCAAAGCAGAAAGGCAAAAAAGAACTGCTAATTTCAACTTTTGCTCTGGCTTGAGGTTGGCTCTGACACAGAGAGCTCCCAGAACGAGCACCAAAGCCTGAAAAGCAGGGAGGGAGCCTGAGTCATTTGCAAGTGGGTGGACAGGGAAGCTCTCCCTTGCCCCCGCTCTCACAGAAAACGGGTTATTCAATCTACTCAATTGCATTTTTGGAACTCTGCCAATTTCCAACATGCACACTTCCCTTCCTCCAGCCCAACAGTGGTGTTCCAAACAGTGAACAAGAGGCAAGATCTCTGAAACCAAAACTAATTCAAGTTGACAAATTAACATCAATTCCAGAATGAAAACTCACTGCAAATGAGTTGTCTTTTTTTTTCCTGCTGCATCCCCCAAACTTGTAACAGTGAGATTGCACAGTAAATATTTGTTCAATGAATTGATAAAGGCAAGGCAACAGAAATAACTTAAATGCCCAACACTAATGGAATTGCGTAAGTACAAATCCATACAGCTAAATATTATGCATCCATTAAAAAGTTTATTCCTAGGCCATTTCTTGGACGCCGGGCAGGGGACGGCATCCGCAGGAGCCTGGCAGAGGGCAACCGAAGAGCTGTCGGAAGAAATGCATCGTGATTCCTACCTATCGAATTGCAAGGTTTATGCGGGTAATTTTGGGAACAACAGTAACAAGACTGAAGTGGATCGAGCTTTTGGCTCTTCTGGACCACTCCGAAGTGTGTCTCTTCCTAGAAACCCTCCTGGCTTTGCTTTTGTTGAATTTGAAGCTCCGAGTGGCAGCTGATGCTGTCCGAGGGCTAGATGGAAGGACACTATGTGGCTGCCAAGTAAGAGTGGAACTGTCCGATGGTGACAAGAGAGGTCAAAATTGTGGCCCACCTCCTCTTGCAGTCGTCACCCTCGAGGTGATTATCAGAGGAGTCTTCCCCCTCCCCACCCCCCTCACCCTTGTCGCAGATCTCCTAGACGGAGAACCTTCACCCTCTTCCCCTCTCCCCCACCCAGCAGGTCCCTTTCTACAGATAGGAGAGATCACCTCAGGAGAGAGAAATCAGAAGCCTTCCCAATCTTTCTCTAGGTCTTGGAGCCAATCTAGGTCAACTGAAAGCAAATAGATCAGTTTGCAAGAGGAGTGGTGTACAGGAAAAATCTTCATTTGACAGGAATATGTAAAGAAAATTCAAGTTTTGTGTGAGGCTTCATAAGTTTGGTGCATTTTAAAGATGTTTTAGCTGTTCACCTTTGTTTTTCTTGGAACCGTGACATAAAGACGTAATTCTCAATGGTTTGAAATGGACCATATGAGGCATGTAATATCAAGAATTGCTACTTTGCAATGTTCCCTCAAGCAAAATTGGTCTTGCACAGGCTGATAATAAACTGTTTAACACCTCCCAGCTAAAGTGTAATATTTAGCATTATGGAAACTAAACTGGCAGAAATTGAACTTAATACTTTCCATAGCTGGGCTATAATATGCAGCTGTCGTTAAACAAGCAGCCTTCAAAAGTTGATGTGAACAAAAGACAGCAGGTAAAAATTAAAGCTGCACCCTTAAACTAGATTAGTTTAAATCCAACTAGTCTTTATACTGGATAGAGGTTGTACAGTTAGTGTAGAATCTAAGTAGTTTCAAGAAAGTTAGTTTACCTTTCTTTGATTTAGGTCATAAATTCCTTATGTGATTGCTATATATGAATACATAGCTCTTGGTAACATTATTCATTTGGAAATTTGAGACTTCAAGATACAAGTGTCCTGCCAGTTTAAGGGTACATCATAGAGCTGAACTTCGAGTTACTAGACAAAAGTTTTTTTCATGCTATCATTTCTAATGTTTTGTGAGAATCCTTGGGCTTAAAGTTTTGGTTACAAATTGTTTTTAAAAAGTTTATTTTGTAAGGTTAGTGATATGGAGAAATATTTGACATTAATTTTTTTAAAACAAATAACATTCATTAAAGAAATATACAACCTCTTGGTGGGTTTATGGATTTTTATTTTGTTTTCTGGTTACAAATTTATTATGAGAAACTCGTCCTTTTTTTTTTTTTTTTTTTTGAGGACACATCCAAACCCAATCCAGATATGACTACCACCTAGCCTGAACTGAATGTACAAATTAATAAATGCAGGATTGTACACAGCCAGTATACTGTAATGTGTATGCTTAAATTCTGGACCCTAAATACTGACTCCATAACTTAATAGCTATGGGGCCCAGGGTAAGTTCCTGAGCCTCCATCAACTTTAATTTACTCATTTGTAAAATTGGGGTAAGATATTTCATTAAGGTTATTATGCAGATTAAGGGAATTAATACCTTTTAAAGCTCTTAAAACACTGGGGGTCACCATTGAGCTATGCAAATGTTAACTTTCATTATCAGATTCAAAACACTGAACTAGCTCTGGTGAAAAGGAAGACTCAAAATCCACAATGATGTGGAGAAAAGGGAACCCTAGTACTACTGTTGGTGGGAATGCAGACTGGTGCAGTCACTGTGGAAAACAGTATGGAATCTCCTCAAAATAAAAATGCAACTGCCTTTTGATGTGGTAATTCCACTGCTAGGTTTATACCCTGAGAACCCTGAAATACCAATTCAAAAGAACCTAGGCACCCCGATGTTCATAGCACAATTTACAAAAGCCAAGTGCTGGAAGCAACCTAAGTGCCCATCAGTAAATGACAGGATCCAAAAAACTGCAATACATTTAAGCAATGAAACACTACGCAGCAGAAAGAAGGAGCTCCTACCCTTCCTGACAGCATGGATGGAACTGAAGAGCATTATTCTAAGTAAGCCAGGCAGTGAAAGACAAATACAGTATGATCTCACTTATAAGTGGAACCTAATTAACAAAACAAGTGAGCAAAATATAACCAGAAACATTGAAATAAAGAGCAAACTGACAGTAACCAGAGGGGAGGAAGAAGGGGTATAACGGGGAAAGAAGGGGAAGGATCATCAAGGAAAATGTATAAAGGACCCATAGACAAAGCCATAGGGGGTGGGGTAGGCTTGAGGGTGCGGCACGCGAGAGCGGTGGGGAGGGAAATGGAGACAACTGAACTTGAACAACAAAAAAATAAAAGTCCACTCCCTGTCTGCAAAAAGAGACGAGGGCACACTCAAAACCAACGTCTTAGTCAAGGCAAAGTGAAATCCAGCTAAAGCCAAGTACAAGCCACTAGCAGGCATTCAAGAGTGATGAATTCTGAACAGTGAATCTAAGAAGTCACAGGAGCCATAGTACTTGAACTGAGTTCCAAGAATCAGTCGGAGTTAAACGGGCGGCTAATAACGAGGGAAACCGCAAAGGATCTTAGCAAAGACACAAAGATTGAAATTCAGTTACTCGTTCTCCAGGACATGGGAAATGCGCAAAGGATGGACAAATAACAGCACACCCCAAGGTACTCAACTGTAGAAGGGAAAGAACAAAGGTGGCGTTTATAAAGTCAGGTCGACCGCGATACAATCGATACAATCGCTCGCCACTATCCTATAGGCACCAATATCAGTGACACCAGGCCAGCCACTGGCGAAACAGCGCCTCTCTCAGGCAGCGAACCATCTGGGGAACCACCGCGAAGAGGAGACCTGGTATGAGAACTACAACTCCCACTGAGGCCTGGAGTGTGGGCACGCGTCCGATTCCGCTTCCGGCACTTGCCCTCACATGCCCCCTTCAATACGACCCACCCGGGAGCCGGCCAGGCGCGTGACCTCGCGTGACCTCGCGTGACAGGCGCCCCCTAGCCAACAAGCCCGGAAGCGGGACTCTGGGACCCACTGGTAGAAAGGCAAGCCGAAAAGGTGCAACTAAACTTGAAAATCTCGATTAGTGATTGAAGTTGATAGGACAGGAACGGAGCCTGACGCCCACAATGTTACCCAATCAGCGTTCAGGGTGACCCGGGAACCGGGAAGGGAATAGGGGGTGAGATGCTTTAATGGTCACATGCCGCGGGGTCTAGTGGGAGGAGCAGTTGCCCAGCGGCCGCTTGGCGCTTCCTGTTTCCGGTTCCCAGAGTGGAGCACGGCGAGGCGCCGGAGGGAACGCTGGCTGTGACACGAGCTCTGGGAACGGGGTCTGCGGCTGGCCACTCGCTGGCCCTGTCTCCCAGCCCCAGACAGGCACCCACCCGGGGAGCCTGAACTTTGGCTACTCCCTTTGCCCACGACATGTGAGTATGGGGGCCTAGAGAGCGCTCACACCTCGGCGTCTGTGACAGGGGCCCCCATCGTTAAGTCTCTCTTATCTAGGGTTCTAGCCAAAAATCAAGCTAAGGAGTCATGGGAGCATAATGGACACAGGGACGTGAGAGCAGGAGCCACAGGCTCCGAAGGGAGTGAAGAGAAAGGACCCCCGAGACCGGAAAGGGAATCTATGTGTATTTGGAAGGCAGAGGAAAAGGAAGGTCCTTTGGTATGAAGTGCATTTGATGTGTTACTGGATGCCTTAAAAGGAGTTTGGCTTGTATCATGGAGGGAGGTAAAGTAGCATCATTTGCAGAAGGTCTAAGCAGTTGGAAAGTTAGGAGATTAGAATTTCTGGAAACCAGGAAAAAGTTTGAGGACGAAGAGTGTATGGCGTGGAGAAGAGTAACCGAAAGAGTAACTTGTGTTCCTCTTCGTACGGAGCTTCTGCCATTGGGACACGGAACTGCTACTCTGAGGCTTTTCGACACTGGGCCCTTTAGCTAATTATGGCTTCTCTTCTGAAAGTGTAGGTTGCTGGAGAGAAGGGCTGCTACATCGAAACAGGGAGAAGACAGTGGAAATTTAATTGAAAAATGGAAAATACTGATGGCTGGTCTTCAGGGGTGGGGAAGAGAGTGATAAAGAGACCTCGCGATGTGTAAACTGCTTCCCAATTCCTGGTTTAATTATTGGTCATACCGCTGAAGGAGAATTTTTTAGCATTATCAAATAGATCTGTCATACAATAAGAAAACTGAAGGGTATTTTTCAAAATCTACAGGCCTCCCCTGTATTTCCAAAGTATCTAGACAAACTCTTGCACCTTGAGAATCTAACTGTAGCACTTTAAAAAGGGACTACCCAGCCCTTGGATTTCATACTCTTCCTAATACATTTTTGCACCCTTGTATTTATCAGAAAATTTCAAGCAACTGTCTTTATGCTGTGAGTCATCCAAGTTACCCCAATCACTTAATACATATTTAATACTTGTATAATGTAGGGCAAGTAACTTAATCTCTGTAAACATCAGTTTCCTCATTTATAAAATGAGAGAAATTCTGTCTACTTTTCTGGGCTGTGACCGTTAAGGAACACAATCTAGATAAAGCACTCAGAGCACATGCCACTGAATCAGAAGCAGCTCAAATATGTAGTCAAACCTCAAGCAAGAAAGAAGAATATAAATTGGTTCTCATTCTCACTCTGAACCAATACACAAAGTGAAAGTTCAACTAGTGCTGACTATAAAGTGTTTAGTCTTTCATTTTTCCCCAGTTTTGTGAGATGATTTGTTCTAATTTGGTTAAAAAAAAAAAAGTCACCAACTGTTAACAGATAAGGAACTGGCTTTGAGGCCAAGAAACACAAATTTGTGTTTGAATATCCCTCTAGAAAGGCTGGTCCTGGAAAAAATACCTGGAAAGCCAACATTGTTGAAATTCTAAGTTAGGTGCTTGGAGAATATAAGGAAAATGGCACATTAAATAGACCTAATAAAAGGAATCTCTTCTCTTTTGTAACTCAGCTGGTCATATTGTGTGTTGAGTAATGAGTTAATTTAGGAGAGGTAGGAGTTTGAGGTCTGAGTTCTTTATTCGATCTCCTACTCAGTGAATTGTGTGAGGCGTCATTTCCCCTTCTTTGTCAGAAAGAAAGCAAAGCTTTGGCAGCCTACTCTGATCCCACAAAAATTGTACTGAAAGGAGATAGACATGTATGTAGTGGTTAAGTATAGACTGTCAGCTCTGAAGCCAGATAAGTCTTGTTCACTCTAGTAGCTCAGTCTCAGTTTTCTCATTTGTAAAATAGGGACAATAATTGTTTATACTCAGTAGGGTTGTTGTAGGATTAATTAGTTAATGTATGTTAAGTGCTTCAACCAGTGCCTCAAGAATGCTTTCTTTTGGTGTTTTAAATGTGTTTATGGGGGCCTCTGACTTCATGGCTGACTATAAGTATTCTGTGGAAACCGCTTATTAATATCACCATAGTGAATTAGTGTTTGGAGAACACAAAGTCAGGGAGACAACTTTCCAAGCATTTGTGGTGCTAGTGGAGCGTGGGAAACAAGGTTGAATATAAGTTTGTTTAGGGAAGTGGAGAAAACTCATTCAGGGCTCAGAGCTTCCATTTTCCTGTCTTCTAAACTTATTAGTACACATTAAATTCTGCCTACTTTCAAATTTTTTTATTTTAAAAATGCAGTAGAGTTAGCGGATAAGCGTGGAAAAGAATTGGAGGACTTTTAAAGAGTATTGGAACCAAAGCCCAGACATCCAGTATGGAAGCATTTTATTATGAAAGAAAATTTGAAAAAATTAAATCTTTGTATCAGAAAAATTAGTGGTACTGTTACGAAATTAACAAGTGGCAGTGGCCTGAAGAGTCATTAATGATCCCAGAGTGAAGTCTTCTGCAAAGGTAATTCAGTGTGTCCTGGGTATGAAAATGAATTAGAGAAAAGAAAATGAGTTTGGGAACCAGAGCCCTGTGTTTTCATTCTTTGAGCAGCACAAGCATGGGTCAGTTGGATTTACTAAATTGTTAAGTGACTTGGTGACCCACTCAAGGGTTGTCACCAGTTTGCAGTGTAGAAAGACTACTTACTGGAAATCTAGAAACTCTTGAGATTTGTGAGTTATAGAGCCTGTGGTGAGTTGTGGAAGAGTTCTTGAAACCACTCATTTTAGCCTAGTGAATTTCCTTCTTCCTCTAATTTAAATGATTGAATGATTTGTCAGAGATGAGACATTAGGTAATGTCAAGTTTTAGGTACTGTAGCTGTTTTCGTCTCTGTTCATTCTTGTGGTGCGTCTGAATGAAGACTGTTGAATGGTCCTGAAAATTGGATTAAGTCAGAGCCCAAAGTATTCATCTCTTCTTTTTATTTTACATCTTTCTTAATAACTTCCAAATAGATCCTGTCAAGTGTCGGATTGTAATTTGAGTGTTGTCTTAGGGAGGGCCACTGGTTTAAGTGGTATTTATGAACTCTGTCCCCTGCACACACTTCTGAGCTGTTCGTTTCCCGTTTTTACAGCAAGTTCCAGACAGAGCCCCCATCCCTCTGACCTCACGTCTTTTCTTTAGATATGTGGCCTGCAAAGTAAGAAAAACAAGCAAGAAGACTTGGTTGATCCTTCCAGAAGCATATGCTTGTGCCAAAGATTAAACCATGCATGTCTAAGTACACACAGCTGGAACAGTGAAACTGCACCAAGTTTAAACTATTAAACTTCAAATAATGAGATATCGCAATCTTACTTTCACCAAACAGTAAAGAGGCAAAGTTATCTCCACGCAGGCTGTCATAATTCTTTTTTGTTCTTTCCCTTTTCTCACCCCCTAGTGTGTTCTCAGGGACTCAACTATGAATTAGACTAAAGGTTGTATGTATGAGTTTCCTGATACAGGAGCTTTTGGCACAGAGATACTAAAATCTACTTTTTGCTGCATATGCTGAAGAATCTTATACTTTCTGCATAATCAGTATATGATTTATTGGTAGTACCTGCATTTCCCTACATTGACTGGTCCTTCTGACAGTTTCTAGAATGAAAAATGTGTCTTTGTTCCAGTAGAGCTGAGGAGTTGGTAGACTGCCTTGGAAATCTAGATATTCTTTTTTTTTTTTAAGCACACCTTGCAGAAGTCATCAACAACCTGCAGACACTTAACTCTTCAGCAAGGCCACAGCTGTCCTCTTTGTTGAATACACGTTGCGCCCTGTCCTGAGGGGACACAGGAAGGACAGCAGGTGAACAATGGTGGCAGGCAGTGGAGTCAGTCAGGACGGGCTTTCAAAATAAGTTTAAAAGAGAAACCTAGAGACCTAAAAATCCAATTCAGAATATTAAGGGACAGAGAAAAAAATAACTTGGAAGAGAGCTAAAAGCTTGAAATAAAAGCCAACTTCGTAATAATGAAGAAAACTGGCTAGTGTAAAATAAGAGGTTGTAGGTAGATGATAAAAAAAAGTTTGTTTTTTTAAAAAAAGCAACCATTTACTTACTACGCATTCATATGCTTTATCTCTTTCCCTTCCAATCCTTCCCCCTTCCCCCTCCCCCCAACACACAGTTTCTCCCAAAAGGATGTTCCCCTTCTGCAGCTGCTGGAGGGCTAGACTACTGCTGCTGCTCCTGGCCGTCGTGAGAGAATCATGGCAGGCAGAGGAGAAAACCTGCGACCTGGTAGGAGAAAAGGGTAGAGAGTCAGAGAGAGAGTTGGCTCTACTGAAGAGGATGACACCACTGTTTAACAAAAGGTAAAGATGAGGAGAACCTTAAAGGGCTAGAGAAAAAACTTTTCTTTCACTCAGCCTCTCCAGACAATGCCTGGTACTCTCCCTACTCCCACAGACCCCAGCTCTCTGACCCCCAGGATTCCTCAGATCCCTGGGCCCCAGGACCCCACAGACCCCTGACTTCATGATACCCCTGGCCCTCTGCAGACCCCGGATCCCCTAGGACCCCCAGCCCCAGAAGCCTCATGGAGGGAGATGGTTATGGATGACCACCAGAAAACAGGATTTTTAAAAGAATCTTTTCCAACTCTTACTGATTTTATATTGGTATTACTATTGAATATGGAGGGAATACATGTGTAATAATCTCCTCTCTCTCTCTCTCTCTCTGGGATAGCTGGTGCTATCATGCTTTATAATAAAGAGTAACAAGTTTTTAGTAGCAATGTGCAGTTCTCTAATGTAGAAGAGTAGCCATTGCTAAAACTGGATTCTAGAGACTAACTTGTAGGAATTTAAAAAGTATTATTAGATACTTTCATTTAATAGGACTTTAAAAGTATTAGATAAGCATGTTTAGGCTTATACATGTCATCAGAAGTGTCAAGAATCTTCAAGTGTAGAAATATGAAGATGATCTTTAAGGAACAAGGGAGTATCCCATGAACATAGACCCTTATTTACAGGGAAATAGTAGCTCACACTTTAGCATAGTCTCGAGCAGATATTCTAGGACTGTCTAGCTGCTGGGGTGGTATATTTTAATCAGTAATCAACAACGATTAGGATAGTCTCTCAGGTCATGGATTCAACAAATATTATTCAGTATTACATTCAGCTGTGACATCATATAAATAAATTGAATGTGCCTTTTCTGTTTTCTGTGGTCAGAGGTTGGAGGGGGGTGGGTTAAGAGGAAGAAAGGCTGATCTTCCTAAGTAATTCCTCCTTCCTTCTCCTCACTTCCTGACAGCTTTGAGAGCACTGTGGGCCAGGGCCCGGAAATGTATATGTACATATTTAGGGTATGCCGGGAAGCTGGCAACTCCTCGGGGGCAGGCCTGGTGCAGATCAACAAGAGTAACGGAAAGGAGACAGTGGTGGGGAGAATCAACGAGACTCACATCTTCAATGGAAGTAAGACCCTCTCTGTTGACTAATCATTGATCCCAAGTCATTCCCTCACACAATCCTGTACGTCTTTCCCAGTCTCTTCAGAATATGATATGTGTAGTTCAACACACCTGCGACTATAAACCACAGGCTCCCTGATTCCACAGCCCCGCTGGAACCAAGGCTCAGGACATTTGTGTGTTTCTTTAAAGTTAGTGAAAAGCTGTGCAAAAAAAAAGAATGTAGCTGGAATTGTATGGCCTGGAGTCCTTTTAATACTTAATCAGGTTTTCATGCTAGGCTTGAAATCATCAACCATGGTTATTTCTCATCAAATTAATCACACTTTGCCAGTTCAGTAATAAGAGATCCAAAGTTTGCAGACCAGTCAGTCTACAAAAACTTCTGTACCAACTTGTGATAATGATGGTGATAATATTTCTCAAAAGTCATAATGCTGGAGGGACTATGTGAGCACCTATAATCTAAGTCCTTAAGCAGATAAAAAAATTGTACCCCCAGTGTTATTTGCTCCTATAAATAATATAATGAAAGTAACAGAATTTGGGGCTATGGGTCAAAAGACTGGATTTTAGACCCATATTGTATTTACTTTGTCTTGTCACTTTGAAAAATCATTGCACCTTTTTGTTTTCACATATGCAAAGTTGGAAGCAGAATCCTTACCTTATTGACCTCATATGACTGTTGAGGCAAATGATATTTTGCAAAAGAAATTTGAACATAGTAAATACTAAAGAAAAAGAAATGCTTCCCAGTCTTAAAAATGATCCACTTTGAACTTACCTGTGGATGATTAAATCTTAGGCTTTTCTTCACCACCTATTAATTATATAGAATCTCTTCTTTTGATGTTAGCAGGTGTTCAGCAAATGTGAGCCATTTAGAAGGTGTGGACCATAATTGGTAGTTTGGCACTATCAGCTGCCTGCCTTTTAATGTGGAAAATTAAGATTCTCATGAATATCTGATTCTTAATTGTCTAAACAAAGGGACATAAAGCTGTAGTAAACTTTTAGCTTGGCATTTCCAGTATACAGAGCTCATACTGATGAGGGTTATTTTCATTGAAACCCATTTGTCTGAACTTTCCAATTCCACTTTACCATAGTACCCAGGTCTGCCTCTATTTTCCCCCCACCCCAAAGCTCCATTTTCCTTGTCCCTCCTCAGGTAATTGGATCATGCTGATCTATAAAGGGGGTGATGAATATGACAATCACTGTGACAAGGAGCAGCGCCGTGCAGTGGTGATGATCTCCTGCAATCGACACACCCTAGCGGTGAGGCGCCCTGGGGCACATGAGCCTAGAGAGGAGAGGAAAGGACTGACCTGAGGTGGGAGAGACTTCCCAGAGGGCACAAGAAACTTTGGGATGAATTAGAGAAAACTAGAAGTTTGATTTTTTTTCCTGTGTCAGACACCCATCTTCCAACATACATGGAAAAATAGGTTATTGAACCAGGAAAAAAACATGATTTGGGGGGTTTGTGGAGGGTTTTGTTGTTTTTTTTTTAAGATGGAGTCAAAACGTTTTAAACAACATGTTCCCGTCCTTTCATCATCAGGACAATTTTAACCCTGTGTCTGAGGAGCGAGGCAAAGTCCACGATTGTTTCTACCTCTTTGAGATGGATAGTAGCCTGGCCTGTTCCCCAGAGGTCTCCCACCTCAGTGTGGGTTCTGTCTTACTTATCACGTGAGTACTCTTTTTTTCCCTTACCAGTCCAAGCTTTTTCTTTTTTTTTTTTTTAAACTCATAATTTTCTTGGGTGCATATGGGCATAAACTGTGTGTGTTGAATAATTGGAGGGGGAAGAATTTTGTGTGAAAATCCTCATTAAACTCTTAACTATGCAGGTTTTTCAAAAATGAAATTTGTTATGTCCCCAATAAATATTCACATTTGAAGGTGCTTTTCTTTCTCTACTGGAGGGCTGGACAGTTTTTAACAGTCCCATTAGATCAGTGGTTTTTAATCAGTGTGCCATGACACAGTCACCAATTTCTGAAACATGCAGTACCTGACTAGTCAGGGGAACTGACCAACATTTTTTCCCTTATACTGTCAAGTTTTAAAAAAAAAATGTCAGCCGCCAATACAACAATGGCCGTCCAGTGTGAATGAATCAAAATTATACTTATTTTTTTGTCAGATCAGCAGAAATGTTTTTTGGTGTGATGCAGAATTTTAGTAATTAGTTTTAATGTGCCATGATATGAAAACGGTTGAAAATTGCTACATTAGAACTTTCAGACAAATAGAATCGTGTGTCTCATGGTGACTGTTGGCAGAAGTCATGGTCTTATATTTTTTCAGAGCCCTTTGCTTTTCTCAAACTGACAGTGCTCTAATTGGTTTTCTAAGGAAGTTACCAGCCCCCCTTTTCCTTTAACTTCACTACCCCTTTTTCCCCGTTTTACAGAACACAGCTTACAAAACAACTGAGTATAGAGACTGTCCTTAGTGTCTGAGTTTTACTGTTTCTTGGTTTTGAAATGTAGCTCGCTCTTCGACAGGTCTGCATCATTGGTCGCTGTCTATATCATTGGGGGATTCTTATACCAGCGCCTGGTGGTGGGAGCCAAGGGAATGGAGCAGTTTCCCCACTTAGCCTTCTGGCAGGATGTTGGCAACCTGATAGCAGTAAGTAACAGGGCAGCCGGCTGGGCCTGTAGCCTGCATACAGGGTTGAGTGACCAACCGTCCTGGTTTGCCCAGACTGAGAGGTTTCCTGAGACACAGGACTTAGGTGCTAAAATCACAAAAGGCCTGGCAAAGCAAGACAGTTGGTTGCTCTAATGTTAAGTATGGTTAAGTATGATAGCATCTTGCTAAGATTTGGCTGGAAGAGCAACACTGTTGCTTAGATTAGGAATCTGATACAGCTATTCAGGGCCCTATGTAGGAAAGTGAGACCTGATTAGAATTTTTCTCCTGTTTCTCCCAAATTCAGTTAAGGCTGATCCTTGGAACTTTGGGGTTTTCTCTTCATTATCTCTGGAGAAACTAGTTCTTGCCACATTCTTACCACATACATACTTTGCCGTATTCTAAATTGGTTGTTCCAGATTATCATTTTCTTCGTTTCTTTCCCTACAGGATGGTTGTGACTTTGTGTGCCGTTCTAAACCCCGAAATGTGCCTGCTACATATCGTGGTGTGGGGGATGATCAGCTGGGGGAGGATTCAGAAGAAAGGGATGATCATTTACTACCAATGTGAATGCACTTTATACCCCCGGCTTCTTCAGTCCCTAAACCAAAGCATACTCGGCCAGATTTCTCAAGCAGCCTCGATCCAGTCTCTCATCTCACCCTTAATGTGGCTCTTGCTTTCCAGTTTGCATCCTCTTCTCTCTAGTAAAAATGCCTTCCCATTGTTACCTATTTTTGGTTTTTCCTCTAAAGGTACAGTTTTAGGTCAGAGATAAAAAGGCCTGTGACAAAAGGCACTACTGATACAAGAAGGTACAAGCACAGTAGTTACAAGCAAAAGCATATGGCAGGCTAGCTGACCTTTTTAAATACATATAAGTTTTTGAGACACTGGAATTCTTTAGTTAAAAAAGGTGAAGAAACGGTATTTATGCAAGGTTCAATTGCTTTCATGCTTACTCTGTACCCTACTCTCCATGAGAAGCTTCATGTGATTTCTTGCTGCTTCCAACTACTTCGCAGTGATTACTTGGTAGCAGTCCAAGTACTGCCATTTGCTCTGAGCCTGGAGATGATGCAGGCCTTTTTCTCCCACCTCAGTTAGGATGGGAAAAATGTGAAGTTTCCCAATTAGAGGATTATAAAGCACCATCACATCATTCATTGCATTGGAATAACTTTACAGCTGGAATTCAGCCCTGGATTGTGGTCTTGCAGTTTAGTCTATATGTAGCCAAAATGCCTCATCCACAAGTCTGGTCTGTCCGAAAGGGAAACCGAAAGTGACCTCCGTGCTACAGGAGTTCCAGAAAAGGGAAATCTGTTTACTTTATAGTGGGATCCCTCTGATAGCTTTTTCCTCCCACTTGTAGTAAAAGTACCAGTGTTTCTAAGTATGTTGCACTTTCTTTACAGACCTGTTACTTTTTTTTTTTTTTTTTTTTTCAGTCTTCTGGAAAGGGAATGGAGGCAGAAGTGGGATACCTAGGGCCCTGCCATTTTCTGCCCTGGGTATGGGATTCCCCTGCACCTGTCCCTGCTTCTGGCTTAAAGAAGTATCTCCTTGCCCACATTTCTGTATGGAGAGGTTTTTAATGTTCCGATACTTCCACCTTTCTGTGTAAGCCATGTGCCCAGAAATATGGCCCGATCTTTAATAGTGAACCTGTGCCATTGAAGAGGAACATGGCTGCACTGGACACAAGAGGGTGGAATCAGTAGGCAGGTTCTTTTATAGCCTTAGAGGGGAAAATGAAATTATTTCATCTTTGGACTTTTCAATATTATTGGAATGATTTTTCTTCTTTCTAAACAGGGAAAATGTTATAAAAACATCCTTTTGTTACTTGTTTGCATCTCTTCCCCTACTCTGGTGTTTAAAAAAAAAAACTATATCATTTTTTGTACAAAAGAAAAAACACTTGAAAGATTAAAAAAAAAAAAAACATGTTGGCCTAGTCATTTGTATGAAAGACGGTAGACACTGGATTGGAGTAAGAAACAACTGAGACCAATTTTTATCCTTTTACTGGGAGAAAAAAATATTTAATATTTTTGTTGTATAAGGAATAGCACCTAAGGCAGGTATTTATACTCCTGACCTCCACCCCAGGCACTCCCATTTTATTATGCTGTAGGACACAGCAGAGTTGGAATTGAAAAGAAAGGGTTTAGAAGACAACAGACTGGAAGGGAGCAGGAGGGTACAGAAAGAATGACAACAGCCACATGTGTGCCAAACACTTTTTAGTCCCTGTAGCCAACAGAGTGATGCCAACCAAGTCTCTACACTGGCTAGTGAGCCTGCCATGGATGCAGGAGAAAATGTTCTATAGGAGTGAGTGACAACAAAGAAAACCGGGCCAAAGCTACAGTCAGATAGTCCAGAGGGTGTACCAGATTTTGCTACTTGTGTCACACAACCTAGAAGAACCCTACCTCTCCCATTGGGGAGGCACACCTACATTCCACCCATGTCCTTGCCTTACCATACTGTATATTCCTCCTCTTGGAGAACTGAGACAGTGGCTAGACATTCCATGCCAGGATAAGGCTGAGCAGTACTGGTTCTCTAGACTTCCTCTTTTATAAAGATTGGATTAGGGTAGGTGAAAATTATAAAGATTTTTAAAAATAAAGTAGAACCCAGAGAAAAGGTCAAAGCTCCACCACGTAGCACCAGCAATCAATTCTTGCGCTTTCCTTCCCTGTTTCAGTAACCCCTCCACAGATTTACATAATTGGAACAGCTCTTTATTCCCTGTGAAGTGTCTGCTGGTTCCAGGTTATAACCTGGACAATGGGGAATGTCTGTCTGCCTTAGGCTGCTTTGTGCAAGAAGGCCACCTTAGGTCTCCTTGAGGACATTAATCTTGGCGCAGATCTTGAGGGCTGGGCCCAGCTTGATATTCATGGCACTCATAAGATGTTCCTCTTTAAGTAATAAAAGGGCCTGTCCATCAATCTCCTGGGAACGAAACTCCTCTGCAATCTCTTGACAGCCTAGAAGGAAATGATGGGAATAGTATGAGAAAGTACGTAGTAGCACCAGAGGATAGCAGAGGGAAAACTAAAGGTGTAAAAATGGATACCCAACAATGGTTAATCCCAAAGTACATGTCCTAAATTCAGAAATGAAGGTTTGAGATGACAAGCTTTGGAAGCTGAAGGAAATCAGAGAGCAACTGGCTATTTAAACAAGAAAGCCAAGATACTGAAAGAACTAAGTTGTTCTACCACAGAAATAACTTCATTCAAACAGCTTGAGGAGGAGAAAAAGGATAAGAGCAAAGATATATGCATGTTTTATTTTACACTGGCAAGAAAAGTTAAGGCTCTATGACACTTGTTTAAGAGCACAGACTTCAGCCCTGGCTGGTGTGGCTCGGTGGATTGAGCCCTGGCCTGCAAACCAAAGGGTCACAGGTTCAAATCCCAGTGCAGGGCATATGCCTGGGTTGCAGACCGAGTCCCCAGTGGAGATGTAATGGAGGCAACCACACATTTCTGTTTCTCTTTCTCCTTCCTTTCCCCTCTCTCAGAAAATAAATAAAATTTAAAAAAAAAATCACCTGGGAAATTAAAAAAATACAGAATTCAGACAAATAGCAAGAAGGGGTGATTTTCTTTCCTGGAGAAAACAATCCCTTTGTCAAGAATCGCTTACATGCTTACTTTGAAGAGAGTGGGGCAACAACATCCCCTTGTTTTCTAATCCCCTTCTCCATTGAAAAAGGTCTTCTATCCATGATGGCTATCCACAATCACACATAAAAATTACCCCAAAATTACTGATAAATACAGCTGAATTATAAGAGATGAAAATCAAACACTGAAATTGCTGACTTAACAAAAGGGTGATGACCCAGGAGGAAATTAGTAAACCAGGCTATGGGCAAGTAAAGAATAAATATCAAGGGTACAGATTTTGAGCCCTGGCCAGGTAGCTCGATTGATTAGAGCTCTGTCCCAATAGACTGAGGTTGGGGGTACAATACCTAGTCAAGACACATACCAAAGAGTCAACCAATGAATGCATAAATAAGAGAAACAACAAATCAATGTTTCTCTCTTATCTCTCAAACTGAGTCAACCAATGAATGCATAAGTGAAATTGATGTTGCTTTCCTCTGTAAAAATGAAAAAATTTTATTTTTAAAGAGTAGAGGCTTCAAGTCTCTACTGCTTAAAATTCAGTTATGTTCCTTCCCTGTTACCAAAGCCTGTGCAAAGACCTAAGGAAAACTACACATCTATGTGACCTGGGTTCTGCTGGTACCTTGTAAAGAAGCGATAAACTCGTAAACTTCCTCTACACTCCAACGGCTAGGATTACTGGACAGGAACACAGGGTTGATGCCATGTAATTCCGGTGTAGGCGGAGCTGTATTGGGGTTCCCTAGGTCTCGTTCTCCATGCCCAGCTCTCACTGATAAAGGCCCAGGAGATGTTGGGGAGAGTGCTTCATCATAGCTGGAATTATCTGAACCCCGGCTAGAGTCCTCTTGACCCTAGAAAGAAAAACAAAAAACAGTGAGGTCATGATTAAGCTTCCTCTCCCCTCCCTAACCACCCTGGGTTTGGGTTCATATAGGGCATGGAGGAAAAAGGATTCTTTCCACGAGTGAAATAATCTGTACTTTATTTGCAAATGTCCAAAGTCATCAGTCTACTCTCAAGTGTCTTTCAAGTCTAAACTGTCACTTTCTTGATTCTCCCCTTCTACCAATGACGTCTAGATTTTCACTAAGCAAATATAGTTTAAGAATTAATAGATACATAAACCAGTAATCAGAGGAAAGGAGATAAAACAAGACAGGATCCTGGAATTTGGAGTGATGCAAGCAATGCGAAAACAGAGTTCTGAATTTATCCTCTTCAGGCCCATTTTAAAGGTGGCTCCGGGACAGCAGCTCACCCGGTGGCGCTTGCCCTGGATCTTGGCCCGGGCGATGTCAGAGGAGCTGCGGCGGGGTCCGCGCCGACGAACACGAGCATAGTTGGCTTCTTGAAACTCTTTCATTTTTTTCCTCTTCAGCCGGAACTGGTGGCTACAACTCACGTTATACCTATAGGTTATACACATGTAAGATATCAAAGGTGCTACAGAAAACTACCTTGCTACCCTACACTAAAGGTGAATTGGTATTTTAAGAGCTGATTTGGAGATTACAAAAGCAAAGGAAACATTTAATATCAGCTGTGAGATGATCCTAGGGAAAGGATACAATATTAGGTGAAGGAACCACTGCTGAAGGCCGGGGGGATGGGGCGGGGGGGTGCCTCCAGTACCTCTTAGCACAAGTCATGGAGCAGAATCTCTTGGAGCCGCGAAACTGCTCTGCAGGGGCGTACTTTCCACAGTACTCACACTTCAGGAGATTCGCCTTCTTATCCAGCTCTGAAAAACAAGGCAGCACAACCTGCCATCAGCTTCTGTTGCTGCTCAAGCCATGATTAGTCCCAGAGCTGGACTCTTGATTACTCTCAGGGTTCACCCCCCCAAGACCTACACCATAAAAAGTACACCCTAAAAGATAAAGTTCAAACTCCAAAACCATAAAGGTATGTCCATCACAGCCTTCCTAACCTTAAGCCAGACTATTTCCATTCTGATGACTTATTTTATCCTTATTCATACTCTCAGATTTCAAACAAGACTGCATTTCTAAACATCCTGTTTAGAATTAGGAACTAATTACTAATGCTTAGAAAGATATCCCTCTACCACAAAGTTTCTAAAAGCAGAGGGGAGATGTCACTAAGAATCTTTAATATAGATTATAAATTCTAAAGGAGAACTGGAAATTAAGAAATATCCTATTTTAGATCATCTTTTGAAAAATACATCCTTCCAGTAAATAATTTAACGGCTTACTTTAGCTTGATAAAATTCCCCCTTATCCTATGGAATTCCTTTTGTGTGATTCTGCATATTCTAATATATAGTTTCTGTCTGAATGGACATCATACAATTCCTACTTTAAAGAGACAATTATTATTTTATACAGAGTCCTCAAACACATCCACATGAGCCTCCTTCCTCAGATGGGCCTCTAAATAAATACTTACCAGCAGATGGGCTGTCCCCTCCCAAGGGACCACCTGACTGATTCTCATTCAATCCTGTCAGAAGGCCAGTCTGTAGTGACTTCTCAGACTCTTTCAGTAACTGAGAACAACCCACCTGTCCCAGAAAAAGTTCACAGTTAAGTTAGCCTAATTCCCTTCTGCTTCTCCATAGCTTTCCCCAGCATTTCGCACTGTCATGTCTTTGCCTGGATCTCCGAGTTAATGGCCAAGTCTGGTTCACAGACAATCATTTTCCATATGGCAGCCAGGAGTCTCTAACTGGCTCTTTTCAGATAAACCATTGGAGAACAAAACAAGTTCCTACTCTGGCTCCCTGTTTTGTCCTTTGGTTTCCTAAGTTGAGGGAATGCACTAGGAGTCAGGATAGCTATGTTCTAATTTTCCAACTTGTGGTGCCTAGAAAAGTCCATTATGGTAACTTCTCTACCACAATTTTCTTCATTATAAACCAACCTCATTTGTCAAACTAAACATTACAGCTTTAAAGGTCATTTCCTGTCTTTTCCTCTCTTCCCAACATTTTCATTTTCTGGTCCACATATTCTTTCCTTTTCTCTTCTCTTCCTTCTGTACAACACATCAAATAAACAGCAGTATTGATCCATCTCTGATAATAAATAGTTCTGAGCCTTCTGATTTCAGTGGCATTTGAAAAGACAAGACTCAGACCAAGCCCCCACTTGGAAGTCCCACCTTATGGCCCTACCCTCACCGGAAAAGGCTCTGCTCCTTCCTGGATAACGAAGCCTTCAATGATGTGGGTGAGGATCTGGGGCTTCACAATGGCCTGTGGGGGTTTTGAGTCACCCATCTGTCTGGACACCATTGCTAGTGTAGGAGGTGGTACTGATGGAGCAGGAGCCAAGGACACTAGTTCACTGCTTGGGGTATTAGTATTCACATTGGTCACTGAGT